CGTTGCGATTTCGTCAAATTTTTCATTGTGTCTGTTTCCCTATTCAGTCTTTGTGTACACGTGACTGTGTTTATGTTTGTGTGGTTTATATGTACATGAGAATGAAGACACAGACATAGATACAGGAACGCGTACATGTAGATGATAAAAGGAGGGACGCACACGATAAAAATGACTGTATCGTGCCGTTTCGAACTCGTGAAAAGATCCTCGTCGGGTATTTGTTCGTCCGATGAGGAAAACGACGTGTTCGAAACGTTGCGATCTGGCTTCATTTTCTTTTACTGACATTCCTTTTTCAATAATATACATATAGTTAAGCATATAAGCTTCAATCCTATATTTCTATCTTTTTTCAGATGAGTATGTAATAATGATATTATATATAACCATGAGAATAATAATAATGACGATAATGATCATATATTGATGTCAATTTTATAGCCATTCGAAAAACATCAATACATATAAATTCTGTTCATCAAGATTAGCTTTTTCCTCGTAATACAAACACATGTTCTGAAAAAATACGAATGCACGGAATTTGATATTAGATGTTCATTACTGGAGCAAGAGAAATAGTAATAATGATAATAATGAAGAAAATAAGCAAGATGATAATAATAATGATAATAATGGCTATTATGATAATGATAATAATGAAGAAAATAAGTAAGATGATAATAATAATGATAATAATGGCTATTATGATAATGATAATAATGAAGAAAATAAGTAAGATGATAATAATGGCTATTATGATAATGATAATAATGAAGAAATAAGATAATAATGATGGCTATTATGATAATGATAATAATGAAGAAAATAAGTAAGATGATAATAATAATGATAATAATGGCTATTATGATAATGATAATAATGAAGAAAATAAGAAAGATGATAATAATAATGATAATAATGGCTATTATGATAATGATAGTAATGAAGAAAATAAGTAAGATGATAATAATAATGATAATAATGGCTATTATGATAATGATAATGAAGAAAATAAGTAAGATGATAATAATAATGATAATAATGGCTATTATGATAATGATAATAATGAAGAAAATAAGTAAGATGATAATAATAATGATAATAATGGCTATTATGATAATGATAGTAATGAAGAAAATAAGCAAGATGATAATAATAATGATAATAATGGCTTTTATAATAATGATAACAATGATGATGATAATGATAATGAAAATAGCAACAATGATAATGATGATGATGATGATAATGGTAATAGCAATAATAATGATAACGATAAAAATAATAGTGGTAATGATGGTTATAATGATGATAATAATGGTGATAATGAAAATAGTTATGATATGATATCAACGATAGTAGTAGTAGTAATAGTAATAGTAATGATGATGATAATAATGATGATAATGATAATGATAATGATAATGATAATGATAATGATAATGATAATGATAATGATAATGATAATGATAATGATAATGATAATGATAATGATAATGATAATGATAATGATAATGATAATGATAATGATAAATGATAATGATAATGATAATGATAATGATAATAATGATAATGATAATGATATTGATAATAATAAGGATGATATGATATTAATGATAATGAAATGAAAATCATAAAAGTAGTACCACCACCACCAGCGCTAACCCCCCCCCCCTCCAGGCGTGGGTGCCATCCCCTACATGATGAACGTGAACGTGACCCTCGACTCGGCGGACGTGGCACTCGGGCGCCGCGTGGCCAGCGCCCTGAGGGCCACCTCGCCCGGGGGTCTGCCAGGTAGGCCTTCGGGGCTGCGTGCTTGCAGTCCCCGCCACTCCCTGCTTGCGGACTCCTTTGCGCAAACAAGTAGAAAAGGAACATTTACCTGGTCATTATCATCGTGCTTCCGGAAAAAACAAACGAAAACAACGACAACGTTTGCCTACTTATACTTTATACTCACTTTATGCATATTTCACTTTTTTCCGCAATCATACTTTGTTTACTCATACTTATTTCCATGTATTTAGTTTTCACTTATTACCTTGCTTACTCTACTCATGTTTTATACTAATATGCATACTCTATACTTTACTTACATTATGCTTTATAGTGACAATGTTGATATTTATTATTCTTAAAAACACAAAGTTTTGAAGTAATTCTAAGAATAATTGATTTCTAGAGACAATGTATATATTTTTTTCTTTTTTCTTCATAAATGTTCTTAAGTAATCTACATCCATATTTGCCTTGTTACAAATATGGAATCAGTTTTTGGTTTTATCTCTTTATTGTTCTTAGCTGATCTACTTGTCATTTTCAGTGCTTTTAGCTAAATTATTTCAGTTTTTTTGCTATTCATTGTTCTGAAGTGAAGGACTTACTCTATTTTTAATAATTGTTCTGAATCATTGGTGTATTATTTCGTTTTTTGCCATTTACTGCTTTTTGTCATCTATTCACCATTTTCTCTTTTTTAATACAACGTTCATAGCCGAAATTTCTTTTTTTTTTTCATTTTTTTTTATTGCTACTCAGTATTCTTAACAGATTTTTTTTTTATGCCTTCAAATGTTCTTAACGGAATTTTTTACTTTTCTTTCTTAATCTAATTATTTTAGGTGAATTTACTTGTCTTTTATCTCTCGTTCTGGACGCCTTTTGGCCAACCCCCAGGAGTGCAGTCCATGGCCTTCCCCCACGAAGGCAGGGTTGAGGTTGCATGCAATGTCGACCTGCTGCCTGCAAGCGAGGCGCCGGCGAGCCACTCGGTAGGCTTTCTTTGTTTGCTTGCGTTGTGTTTTGTTTGTGTGAGTGTGTGTTTGTGTGTGTGTGTGTGTTTGTGTGTGTGTTTGTGTGTGTGTTTGTGTTTGTGTGTTTGTGTTTGTGTGTGTGTTTTTGTGTGTGTGTGTGTGTGTGTGTGTGTTTGTGTGTGTGTTTGTGTGTGTGTGTTTGTTTGTGTGTGTGTTGTTTGTGTGTATGTGTTTGTGTGTGTGTGTTGTGTGTTTGTGTGTGTTGTGCTTGTGTGTGTGTGTGTGTGTGTGTTTGTGTGTGTGCGTATGTTTGTGCGTTTATGTGTATTTGCGTGTGTTGTGTGTTGTGTGTGTGTGCGTATGTGTTTGTTTGTGTTTTGTGTATTGTGTGTGTGTTTTGTGTGGTGCTTGTATGTTGTGTGTGGATGTGTATTTGTGTGTGTATGTATTTGTGTTTGTGCGTGTGTGTGTGTGTGTGTGTTTTGTGTATGTATGTATGTTATTTTTTTGTGTTTAAATTAATAATTAGAGCCCTGTTGTAGAATTAGGGCCTTATGACACCTGTCAGACTTATTTCAAAGACTCTTATCTGATTCATGTTGGATTTTATACTTTTATATAAAAACGATCATGTTAGTTCGACTTATTCCCTTACTTATCATTCATCATTCGCTGTCATTCCTTATCTATTATTCACCATTATTCCATATTCATTATTCACTGTTAATTACCATTCTTTATTTACTTATCTTTATTTCTTACCTCTCCTTTATCACTTATTATCATTCATATCCGAAGAGCATCCGAAGCGATCCTCATCTGACCTTTGACCTCGTATGACCTCCCCGCCCATCCCCGCCCACAGATGAAGGCCTCCCTGGGTGGGCGGTATTTCTACACGCCCCCGGAGCAGATCGAGGCGCGGGTGCTCGAGGAGGCGGGCGGCGTGGGCGTGGTGGGAACGGCGCTGGTGGGATTCAGCCCGGAGGAGGCGCGCGGGCTGGCTCTGCACGCCCTCGCCCACGCCCACGACGAGGCCTGGAGGGACGTGGCGAGGTGGAGGAGGATGTGATGCTGGAGAAGGATTGGGCGTTGGGTCTTTTCTTTCTTTCTTTTCTTCTCCTCTTTATCTTTCTCTCTCTCTTCTCTCGTTCTCTCTCTTTTTCTTTTCTTCTCCTCTTTATCTTTCTCTCTTTTTCTTTTCTTCTCCTCTTTATCTTTCTCTCTCTCTCTTCTCTCGTTCTCTCTTTCTTTTCCTCTCTCTCTCTCTCGCTCTTGCCTTTTTCCTTTCTCTCTCCCTCTTTTTACTTTTTACTCTCAATCAATTTTGATTTCTTTCTTTTTTAATTTCTTTATTCTTTGATTGTCTTAAATAAAGTTGTTGGTTGTCGTTTTTTTCACTATTTTTTGTATTTTTTAAGATTACTATTTTTTGCGAGTGATAATAAATGAGCAAATTTCATTTCTCCATTTTTTAAGATTCTCTCCATCCCTTCCATTTATCCCCTCAACCTCTCTTCCTCTTTACTCCCTTTCTTTATTTCATTTAATATTCTTCCCATTTCCCGTCCCCTTTCTCAACTCTGAAGACTATTTTGACACTCCCTTTCTTCCTATTCTCCTCTCTGTCCCTCTCCCCTCTTTCGCCACTCCTCCCGCTCCCCTTCTCCCTCTCCCACAACCACCCTTTCCCCCGACTCTCTAGCCCCTCCCTCATTCCCTCTTCCCCTTGGTCCTGTTCTCACTTTCTTCTCCTTTTTCTACCCTATTTTCCCCTTCTCCCACTCGTTCTCTACCCCCTCTCTTTTGCTCGTTCTCCCACTCTCCCCTCTCTTTCTCTTTCTCTTTCCCTTCTCTATACTCTCTACCCCATTTCCATCACTCCCTCTTTCTCTCCTTCCCCTCTGCCCAATTCCCCCCCCCCTCCCTCCTCTCTTCTCTACCCCCTCTCCTCTCTTCCTTTCTCACTTCTCTTCTCCCCTCTCCCTTCCCCCTTCTCTCAGTGCGTCTCTCCCTTCCTTTTCTCCACAAAATCTTCCTTTCTCCTTTCCTCTTCTTTCCCCCTCTCCATAGTCCCTTCCCACTTCCACCTCTCATCCCCCCTTCCCCTCCCCCTCTCCCCCCCTTCCACCTCTCACCTCCCCTTCCCTCCCTCTCCTCCTTCCCTTCCCCTCCCCCCTACCACCTCTCACCTCCCCCTCCCCTTCCTCCCCTCCTCTCCCCCCTACCCCCCTACCACCTTCTGCTGCTCGCCGCAAGTTCCTCTCACTCATCCCCTTGTGGCGTCCCTTTGTGGTCCCTCGCTGTCGCCTCGGTTGCCTTCTTGCAATAAAAGTTTTGTCTTCGTTCTGCGTTTCTTTACCTCCGTCACTGGCGAGGACTATGGCGACTGGACACAGTGATCTCAATAATTCCATTTCGGAAAAGGTTGTTATTAAGCTGCACGAACGATCTTTGACTGTTTCTATACATGCATACATTCATAGATACGCAGACACAGACACACACACACGCGCGCGCACAGATATATGCATACACATGTATGTAATGTATGTATATGTATGTATGTATGTATGTATGTATGTATGTATGTTATGTATGTATGTATGTATGTATGTATGTATGTATGTATGTATGTATGTATGTATGTATGTATGTATGTATGTATGTATATATATATATATATATATATATATATATATATATATATATATGAAGGGGGATAAGTTCATACGTAAACTCTCCACTGATGGACGGAGAGACAAGATCTTTGTTTATTAAATGAACGATCAACACGTGATCTTTTGTCCTCTGTTGGCTGACTTTTGTAAGGATATGAGAAACAATTTTTTCAATTAGCATTTATTCGCTCAAAAAATACACACACATACTACGGACAACACGAAAAATATGACACACACGGGGGCACAAAGTGACACACAACACGGGGGGGCACAAAGTGACACACAACACGGGGGGGGGGGCACAAAGTGACACACAACACGGGGGGGGCACAAAGTGACACACAACACGGGGGGGGGCACAAAGTGAACAGGGGGGGGGGGCACAAAGTGACACACAACACGGGGGGCACAAAGACACAACACGGGGGGGGGCACAAAGTGAACACAACAGGGGGGGCACAAAGTGACACACAACACGGGGGGGGGGGGCACAAAGTGACACACAACACGGGGGCACAAAGTGACACACAACAGGGGGGGCACAAAGTGCACAACACGGGGAAGTGACACACAACACGGGGGGGGGGCACAAAGTGACACACAACACGGGGGGGCACAAAGTGACACACAACACGGGGGGGGGGCACAAAGTGACACACAACACGGGGGGGGGCACAAAGTGACACACAACACGGGGGGGGCACAAAGTGACACACAACACGGGGGGGGGGCACAAAGTGACACACAACACGGGGGGGGGGGGGCAGGTGACACACAACACGGGGGGGGGGCACAAAGTGACACAACACGGGGGGGGGCAAAAGTGACACACAACGGGGGGGCAAAGTGACACACAACACGGGGGGCACAAAGTGACACAACACGGGGGGGGCACAAAGTGACACACAACACGGGGGGGGGGCACAAAGTGACACACAAACACGGGGGGGCACAAAGTGACACACAACACGGGGGGGGCACAAAAGTGACACACAACACGGGGGGCACAAATGACACACAACACGGGGGGGCACAAAAGTGACACACAACACGGGGGGGGGGGCACAAAGTGACACACAACACGGGGCACAAAGTGACACACAACACGGGGGGCACAAAGTGACACACAACACGGGGGGCACAAAGTACACACAACACGGGGGGGGCACAAAGTGACACACAACACGGGGGGCACAAAGTGACACACAACACGGGGGGGGGCACAAAGTGACACACAACACGGGGGGGGGGCACAAAGTGACACACAACACGGGGGGGGCACAAAGTGACACACAACACACAAAGTGACACACAACACGGGGGCACAAAGTGACACACAAACACGGGGGGGGCACAAAGTGAACACAACACGGGGGGGCACAAAGTGACACACAACACGGGGGCACAAAGTGACACACAACACGGGGGGGCACAAAGTGACACACAACGGGGGGCACAAAGTGGGGGCACAAAGTGACACACAACACGGGGGGGCACAAAGTGACACACAACACACACACACGGGGGGCACAAAGTGACACACAACACGGGGGGCACAAAGTGACACACAACACGGGGGGGACAAAGTGACACACAAACACGGGGGGGGGGCACAAAGTGACACACAACACGGGGGGCACAAAGTGACACAACACGGGGGGGGGCACAAAGTGACACAACACGGGGGGGCACAAAACACACAACACGGGGCAGGGGGGCACAAAGTGACACACAACACGGGGGGCACAAAGTGACACACACGGGGGGCACAAAGTGACACACAACACGGGGGGGGCACAAAGTGACACACAACACGGGGGGGGGGCACAAAGTGACACACAACACACAAAGTGACACACAACACGGGGGGGGGGCACAAAGTGACACACAACACGGGGGGGCACAAAGTGACACACAAACACGGGGGGGGCACAAAGTGACACACAACACGGGGGGCACAAGTGACACACAACACGGGGGGGGGCACAAAGTGACACACAAACGGGGGGGGGGCACAAAGTGACACACAAACACGGGGGGGCACAAAGTGACACACAACACGGGGGGGGCACAAGTGACACACAAACACGGGGGACAAAAGTGAACACAACACGGGGGGGCACAAAGTGGACACACAACACGGGGGGGGCACAAAGTGACACACAACACGGGGGGGGTGACGCACAAACACGGGGGCACACACACAACACGGGGGGGGGCACAAGTGACACACAACACGGGGGGGGGGCACAAAGTGACACACAACACGGGGGGGGGGCACAAGTGACACACAACACGGGGGGGGGGGGGCACAAGTGACACACAACACGGGGGGGGGGGCACAAAGTGACACACAACACGGGGGGGGCACACACAACACGGGGGCACAAAGACACACAACACGGGGGGGGCACAAAGTGACACACAACACGGGGGGGGGCACACAAAGTGACACACAACACGGGGGGGGGCACAAAGTGACACACAACACGGGGGGGCACAAAGTGACACACAACACGGGGGGGGCACAAAGTGACACACAACACGGGGGGCACAAATGACACACAACACGGGGGGGGGGGCACAAAGTGACACACAACACGGGGGGCACAAAGTGACACACAACACGGGGGGGGGGCACAAAGTGACACACAAACACGGGGGGGGCCACAAAGTGACACACAACACGGGGGGGGGCACAAAGTGACACACAACACGGGGTGGGCACAAAGTGACAAACATCACGGGGGGCACAAAGTGACACAACACAAAGTGACACACATCACGGGGTGGGCACAAAGTGACACACATCACGGGGTGGGCACAAAGTGACACACATCACGGGGTGGGCACAAAGTGCACACAACGGGGGGCACAAAGTGACACACACACGGGGGCACAAAGTGACAACAACATCACGGGGGGGCACAAAGTGACACACACACACGGGGGGCACAAAGTGACACACATCACGGGGGGGCACAAAGTGACACACATCACGGGGGGGCACAACAGTGACACACATCACGGGGTGGGCACAAAGTGACACACAACACTTAAACACTTAGTTAACACTTAAACACTTAGTTAGCACTTTAACACTTTGTTAACACTTAAACACTTAGTTACTGCCACGAGTGGCACACTGTCGGTCACAGCTACGATAGGTTACACTGTCGGTCACACATGGTAATACTGGTATCGAACGTAGTCATTGTACATTGTTTGTGCACTATACACGTAGTTCATCCGATGTATCCGTTCCCACGGGTGATGCAGGGCAGGTGAGGGTATTCACGGCACCGACAACGTGCGTGGGGCCGAGAAAACGTCAGTGGGTCGTGCGCTGCAGACTCCACGTGCCCACGCCTACTTAGGCACGTACTGTGGGCGTGCCCGTACTCCGTCTTCGTTGCATGTGTTCCACACACGCCCACACACCCCGGGTCTCTCTTCCTGCTACTCCTCGGCGGTGATGGGCGGCGCCCAAGGTCCCTAAAACACCAAAGAAACACCGTGTACCGTTTGTCGGGCTGGTATACCTCGCCCATATGATTCATTTCTACACATATTTATTATATCATTCAATGATATTATCTTACCGAGGAATGTGAATGTAGGGAATGTGGTATCGTCCTTTACAATTATACCCGAGAGCAGGTCAGTTCGTCCCCTCGGCTAGGCAGTCAGGGTAGCAAGCTCTTTTCCTTGTCTTACTGCATTCGCGGCCACATGCCTGCGCTGCCCTCGGGTCGCCGCTCCCTCGTTCAGCATTGTTTACGCTCGGTAATTGTTCTATTCGAGGTAACCATTCGTGTTGTAAGTGCCTCATCATTTTTATGTTCTGCGTGGTAAATGCCACTTTGATAAGTTAATGTACAAAGATAACAAACAAATATAGACATCCTTTCGCGCATATAATTCATGCTAATTTTGGTCGTTGGGTAGTTTGCCCAGTCAACATTCACACCTCATTCATACTCTGTCGAACCTTTTATCATCTTATTTCTTTCTTTCTTTCGGTATTTTCCTCCCTTTACACACACACACACACACACACAACATATTAATTAATATATATAATTAATAATAAAGATATTATATATATAATATATAATATAATTATAATTGTTTATTTAGTGTAGTGTATATATAATATCTACATACGTAGCACACACATACACCCACAAGACCTTCGATGAAATGAAAGCAACTTAATGGTGTGTTGAGTGTTATTGTGTTACCATCATATGTTTAAAACATCCGGCTTGTGCGTAGTTCAGTTGTGATGTGGTCGGAGAGTGATGTGGGTAGGAGAGTGGAGCTAAGTCTGTGGTTCGCCAAGGTCAAACACAAGTCTGCCCACTGATGAGGACACACCATCATCAATGGAGGACTGCTATTTTGGCAAGATTGTCGTTATCAGCTATTATATTAACTGTTAAGTGTTCGAATCAAAAATCATTGATATGACGAAATCGTTTCTTGATGAAGGTTCCCTAGCCTGTTCACAACATGTACAGAAACAGGAAACGTTGTTCCATTATTCCAAGGTTC